GACAGGGGGAGGGGCTGGATTCCCCCCGCTCCGATCCGCCAGCGCTGACTGGCGGAACCGACTGGGGAGGGGGAGGGTACAGCTGGCTCTGCCTCTAGATAGGCAGAGCCAGTTGTCACTCATGCAGCTGGGCGGATCCAGACAGAATTGTTGGGATCCGCTTCAGCTGCGGCGTCTCAGTATACCGCGAGCAGTAGCTCCCTATATACACTAAGCTTGGGGTGACGGGAGGACGCTAGTTTGTGTCCTCCCGTTACCCTAAGGAGAACTATGGGGAAAAGCCCTGACCCCATAGTTCTCCTTTGAACGGGTGACCCCCGCCACTTGTAAATGGCAGATTTGGGATTCCTGCTGCAGGAAAACCTAAACGCGCTCACATTGTAGGCGAGTGTTTTTTTGTTTTAAGCCCGTGGAGCATGCTTACGAAACACCCAAAATGTGAACAAAAAAAGTGCATGTGAACACACAAAAAAGTGCACGGAAGGGGTGCTATCTAAAGGGTCCATCTCCCGAAGAGACAGGGCCCATCCGTGACCCCCCGGGGGTCAAGGCACTCGTGTCCACCTGGCCGAAACCAGGCAGACCCATTCCTCATGGCCAGCCGAAGCCGACCACCGAGTACTAGGTTGAGGGCTTCCCCGAAGGGAGGGGGGGGGGGGAAGGAACCTGAGGGCCACACATCCTCCCCCCAGACTTCAGGATAGGCCCGAAGACCCTCAACCTCCATCCTGTGGAGTGAAAAATACACATTAAAAAAGTGAAGGCGAGAATGAGGGATTCAAGTATATAAGGCCCCATTCACACCAAGCGACACTTACCTCGAGCGGATCCACGCGGCCCGGGATAGCGCGACTGTTCGGGCGACGTTCCAGCGACGATCGCACGACCTTCGCCGTCGGGGCTGCATGCAAAAATAGAAAAATCGCGTGACATCCGCGGGGGAAAAAAGGGTCCCGCACGAGCGCCACGCGACCGCGACGAGCAACATGGAGCTGTTCAATAGAACAGCTCCATTGAAAATCATTGGACGGCGACTTCTCGCGATATTGCGGCGGCAAATTTGCGCGATATTGCGGCGGAAAAATTGCGGCGATGGGCACTAAAGCGTACATTTTTGTTTTGGATAGAGTAGAGAAGGATTAAAACTCCTATTGGGTTATTTTTTGCTGTGTCCTACGAGGGAGATTTCCCGTCACTTCCCATCAGGAAGTAAGAGAAACGTCACCCAAACATTTGCCCCCATTGGAAGATCCCCCCTCTATTCCTGTTCTGATGACAACAACAAAAAAGTTTGGATTTCCCATCACTTCCAGTCTAGTTTTCCCAGCGGGGACCCAGATAACAATAAAAACCTAGCAGAGGGTCATCATCAACTAAGAAAATTCCCTTTGCGTACATTTTAATATCCAAGCATGCTGGGAATTGCAGTGCCTCTCATTACAAAGCTTGCACTAGGGGGTAAAACAACTGGGACACAATCATTTCGTCTTTTCCGAATTTAGAGCGCGGATCAGGAAGACACGAGCAGGTGTGGTTTTTTTTTTTGGGAGAGTGATGCAAGCGGTAAGCTTCTCTCTACAGAAGGCTGGATCAGAGAAAAGGATTTGGTGAACCATTACTCACCTCCTTACTGAGACCCTTGGGCTGGCGCTTCACCGTCTTGTAACCTCTGCAATAGAATACAAGGGGGTGAAATGAAGTGGCGATGAACCTTTTATCATTAAAAAGGGAATACAACAACAACAAAATATTTAACTTGTGTATAAAATGCTATCTAAACCCACACCAACCTCTTACACCGATGCAGGAGATGACAACCCCCCAGTGATGCTGTTAAGCTGGCACCCGCTGCCAACAGCTCATTGTCAACCGCTCAGTGTCTGCAACCCCCCTCTGTCAATCCCTGCACTGGCTTCCTAACTCTATAAATCCTGTATAATAATAATAATAATTGTCAATTACAGAGCCTGGCCCACACCACTTCCTCTGAACCCTGGCTGTCATGGACACACCCACTAGGGGTATGTCATCACATCACCCTGAACTAGTACTGCATGTCATTACATCTGCCCTGTTCAGTGTAGCAGTAAGGACCCCCTGCCCACGGTTCCAGAACAGAAGAAGAAGGACCCGTGATGTCACTGGACCCCCAGGAAAAAAATGTATAAGTGCTAAATGGCCTCATGGGCAGGGGGCAGGGGTTGGAAAAACCTAAAGTTCTTCTTCAAATGCTAAAAATATGCCAATATTATGAGGAACGAAATATATATCCGATATATCGGCCGCCAAAACATATCGGCCGAAAATGGCACATCTGGCAAAATGCCGAAAGTGCCATTTTCTGGTGCATCCTCTCCTCCCCGTTGGGCGCTGCTCTGTGTCCCAGCGGGGCGGAGAAAAACTGTCACAGGCGGCCGAGCGCTGTCAGCGGCCGGCGTCTCTCTTCCCCGCACAGCTCAGCCTCCTATCACAGTCCGGCAGAGCAGTGTGGGGAGCGGAGACAGCGCTGTCACAGGAGGCTGAGATTTCCTCCCGCACCGCTCGCTCAGCCTCCTGTGACAGCTGTCAGGATGGAGAGCGGTACCAGCAGTCAGTGATCTCTGAGTGTTTGTAGATAATTGAGGACAGAGTATGGTTACTATATCCTCAATTATGAATGAGAAGTGATCTACATTACATCACTTCCTGTTCATTCATGATTGTGGTTATAGTAAACATACTCTGTCCTCATGTTATGAATGATCAGGAACACTCAGTATAGAGGATCCCCGTTCATTGATAACAGGGATTCTACATCCTCAATCTCTTTTCTATTTTAAAATGGAAATATCAGGGGTTTGTTTAGACCTCCAATATTTCCCCGAAGCCTGTAAAACTAGAGTAAAGAAATAAAAATAGTTAATTAAAATGAATGAATAAATAAAAAATAAATATAAAAAAATAAAAAAGTTTATAAAATTAAATATTGATTTTTTTTTTGAAAAAGTTAAAATAAAAAACATCTACGGTTTGCGTCTGACATTTTTTTTCCATTTTGGTGCACCTCTAATTACAAGTTAAAATCAAATAGGAACGAGGTTGCAATGCGTTGTGTAGAACTTCATTTGTTTCATTAGCACCAGTGACAACGTCAAGTTACTCACAGGGCGGCCATCATGGCTTCCTCCTCCGCCTCTTTCACCGCAGCCAGCTCCTGCTCTCTGCTCATCGCCTCCCCCGCATTCTTCTGCTTGGCATACCAAGTCAGGTCCTTGCCCTTCTGCCACCTTCCCACCGGCGCCATTACAGAGTTTCCTGCATGAAGAGATACAGGACATGACATTTCATCCGGGACACACACAGAAACTAATCCCTGCAGCTTCCAGGACGGTGAACTGCCACTCCAATTCACCCAGGTACCAACTGGACAGAAAGGTCTACCTTATCCTCTGTGTCTTACCAGCATCGAACTACAGAGATCAAAGCATAGCAGTAGCACAAAGCTGCCAAATGATCCCGCCTCTTGCAGGCCCTGTACAGCAGGGCTGGAGTGTGAGAGGAAGAAGCAGCCTATATGGGTTGGACTTGACCTATACGGGTTGGACTAGACCTATACGGGGTTGGACTTGACCTATACGGGGTTGGACTTGACCTATACGGGGTTGGACTTGACCTATACGGGGTTGGACTTGACCTATACGGGGTTGGACTTGACCTATACGGGGTTGGACTTGACCTATACGGGGTTGGACTTGACCTATACGGGGTTGGACTTGACCTATACGGGGTTGGACTTGACCTATACGGGGTTGGACTTGACCTATACGGGGTTGGACTTGACCTATACGGGGTTGGACTTGACCTATACGGGGTTGGACTTGACCTATACGGGGTTGGACTTGACCTATACGGGGTTGGACTTGACCTATACGGGGTTGGACTTGACCTATACGGGGTTGGACTTGACCTATACGGGGTTGGACTTGACCTATACGGGGTTGGACTTGACCTATACGGGGTTGGACTTGACCTATACGGGGTTGGACTTGACCTATACGGGGTTGGACTTGACCTATACGGGGTTGGACTTGACCTATACGGGGTTGGACTTGACCTATACGGGGTTGGACTTGACCTATACGGGGTTGGACTTGACCTATACGGGGTTGGACTTGACCTATACGGGGTTGGACTTGACCTATACGGGGTTGGACTTGACCTATACGGGGTTGGACTTGACCTACACGGGTTGGACTTGACCTACACGGGTTGGACTTGACCTACACGGGTTGGACTTGACCTACACGGGTTGGACTTGACCTACATGGGTTGGACTTGACCTACATGGGTTGGACTTTGTGACGACATGGTGATCAGTTTATAAGTTAAATGTGTATTGGGGTTGAGTTATGTTTGAGTGCGTTATACTGTGTGACCTGGTTATGGAAAGACTATCAGCCCCATCCCTCGTTATCTCCCATTGTACTCTGAGGGAGCTCAGAACAATGACATTCTGGCCAGGCCTCTGCTATGGCTGTCTGGAGTTCGTTAGCAGGTGGACACCTGTGGTGTTGAGCAGACCGATGGTCTGGGAGGGGAGGGTGGATGTGATGGGATTATATTCTGATTTCATCACTTGCTGTATAAAAGTTTGTGCAGTTGCTCAATAAAGCAGAGTTTGTTTGCCCTACACTCGAGCCTTGGCTAGTGACTGGGGAAACTGGGAGCTACAGATCAGCGGGTTCCAATATCTCCTCAGCAAGGAAGAAGACAGTGGCGGAAATACTCATCCTGAGTACGGGGGGCCATCACAGACTTGACCTACATGGGTTGGACTTGACCTACATGGGTTGGACTTGACCTACATGGGTTGGACTTGACCTACATGGGTTGGACTTGATGGATGTATGTCTTTATTCAACCCCAAATACTATGTAACTATGTAATCGGTCACTGGCATGTTCTTATCATGGTAAGTGATCTGTGTCGCCTGCCATGTATGTCCCCCCATTGTATATTCAGACTGTATGTGTCACACACGGTGCGGACGGTTTGTAACTCAACCCCGATTTCTAATCCCTGTTTAAGTTCCATATTGGTGTTAGAGCTCACACAGGGTTAGTGATCTCCCCACCACTCCCCCTCAAGCGACCAGGCCTGCTGATTGGTCACTCAGTCCCAAGCACTGTATATTGGAGGAAAGGGGAAGGTCAGATGCTTCCCTATACCTGGAAGTGCCAGGTATTTCCAAGGGCTCCCACAGTGCCAGGGGAGCACAGCACAGAGAGTTCAATGGGAGGATTGCTTCAAAGAGAACCTGTCACTTTGCCCTTAGAAAAAAAGACTTGATGGACTACTTGGCCTTATTCTGACGGGGCAAAGCAACAGGTTTCTTTTAAGTCCATAAGTAGAGATGTGGCGCTTTGCAATGTGGAAAGACATTCTGTCCGGGGACACCGCTGTATCGATTACCACAGAGCAAGCTGCTATCATCTCCTAATTACCGAGGTAGTTTTCACGCTGCTTATCCATCTTGACATCTTCCCAGTTGAACTGGTCCTGTCCGCCCCGGACGCCCCCTCTGGAGGAGCCGAACATTGTGTCTGTAATAGAGGAGAATGGTAGAGAAGAATCAGGTCACAGAGATCAATGTGTGACAACTGGACCAGGTAAAGTATATACAAAGTATATCGTCCCTGCTGCAGCTGAAGTCTAGGCAGATATAAAAGACACAAACGTTTGTATCACAGAGATGGTCAGACTGAGGGGGAAGGGAGAGCTACAGATAAAAAAGTGGCGTTCCACTTTAAAGAGAACTATGGCCAAATCTTTTTTGGCTTTAGTTCCATTTTGGGTGACAGGAGGACATTTACTAATGCCTCCCGTGAGACAAAACTCAGTATACAGCGGGCTATTAGCTGCTATATGCTGACAGTGCAGAGCCGCGCTGCAGCCGGGAAAGATCCTGACAATATTGACGGGGATCCACTCCGCTACCTGATTAACAGCTGCCTCTCTGGAGCGAGAACAGGCAGTGTCCCCCTCCTCCCGTCAGCATAGTAACATAAGAGGCATTGTATGTACCATTATGGTATGGCCCTGGTCTTAAAATGCCACTGCTGGAATACATGCCCACCTTCCCTGCACAAAATAGTTCCTTCTGCGAACTCGTATGTCCTGTAGTGAGGTAGGAGCCAGCTTGATAAATGGTGGCAGCGTTGTTTCTAGACACGGCCTCCAGTAAGGTAAGGGACTGACCTTGATATAAGTGACCCTATGGTGACAGGTAGGGTTGCCACCTTTTCTTCAAGCGAAACCTGAACACTCTAGTAGCCCCTATCTTAATGTTGGTTGCTCCTGTCTGCCTGACATCTTGTGTCCGGGTTTCTGCTGCCATGAAACCAGGACAGAGCATTCAAAACCCGAACTATCCGGGTGAATCCTGTACAGGTGGCAACCCTAGTGACAGGTTCTCTTTGTTATCTGTGGCAGGAGTAACAGGGGGGACACCAGTAAGGGGGGGATGCGTCCTTTGCCTACCAACCATCTGCAGAAGGTGTCCCTCTTTCTTTCCCATGTAAGAGCGCTGGCAGGTTGTCATGGAAACATGCAGAACCTTCATTTATAAGACATGTAAACAACAACAGAGGGTGCCCAGCTCTGGGCCTACTGGGTGTCTACAAGTCCCAGCAACATCCTTTCACCTGACACACAGTCTATGGATTTATAATTCTCTATATTACACATTGTATTGTCATCCTGCGCAGGTCACACACACTAAGACCTTAGACAATCACATACGATATATATACACATTGTTCCATGTTTACACCTCATAATGTATATACCGACTCCCCACCCACTACACGGCCACGTACCGGCCCCCTTCCATTTTCCCCAAACTCACATGCACACCTACCGATCAGGTTTCTCAGATTCGGAAGAGAACACAAAACAACACGCTCACTTCCGGTAACTGCAAGGGGGAAGCATGAAGACGGCGAACCGGTCACGTGACCGCTAGGGGGGCGAACTCGACGAGAACACCGGCAGCCATCTTTGTTGTGGGCAATTCAAAGGCAGATAACCTGGCGAAGCAGAGCAGTCTTTTTCCCTGGGGAACCTGGCAAGGGAAGAGGGAGAAGGGGGCAGGGTTATAGGCATAGGGGGGCAAAATAGCCTGTCCTGCATTGTGAGGTCCCAGATTTGTGGGGACGATCCTAGGGTTTTTTTGGGAACTCAGTGGTGGGCAACAGTGCTCCTCCAGCTGTTTCAAAACTGGTCATGTGACCTTTCTGGCAGTGGGTAATGCTGCAGCTTTCTCCTATGAGTCCAGGGCAGCCTGATGACACAACCGAGGCACACAGGACCCTGGGCAGCATTAAAGTGACCCCAACATGTCAGGGTGCAAAAAATGCACAGAGACAGCCCTGTAAAAAAAAACAAAAAACGCTATACTGACCTTTCTGGTAGCCGCGTCTCGAAATGCCGCTGCAATTCTCCCGCCCCCCACTGCTGTAAGTGTTCCACACTTCAGGTATGCGAATCCCTGCTACCTGTTTTAGCCAAAATAGTGGCAAAAACGAATGTTCTTAAAAGGAGAACTATGAGGCGAGTGATTTCCACTCACCTCATAGTTCTAGCCGACCTGTGACAATGAGACTGTCACAGGTCGGCTCAGTAGATCGGGAGGTGAGCGAACACATACCGGGGATCGCTCACCTCTCGATCCTGTCACGGCTCTCTGCCGTGACAGGGGAGGGGCTGGATTCCCCCCTCCGATCCGCCAGCGCTGACTGGCGGAACGGACGGGGGAGGGTACAGCTGGCTCTGCCTCTAGATAGGCAGAGCCAGCTGTCACTCACGCAGCTGGGCGGATCTCGACGTCGATGCTGGGATCCGCTCCGGCTGCGGCGTCTCAGTATACCATACTGAGCTTAGGGTGACGGGAGGACGCTAGTTTGTGTCCTCCCGTTACCCTAAGGAGAACTATGGGGGAAAACACTGACCCCATAGTTCTCCTTTAATATGTTTTTCCCAGTTCGAATGTAGTGTTGTAATAATACATCATGGCCACTGGATGGAGTTTCCCAGTTTGAATGCAAGTCTGTTGTAACAATATATTGTGGCCACTAGAGGCAGCAGAGGAGCACGGGATAAGTTTTTTTTTATCAGCGACAGCAAGCTGATTTTTTTGCTCCATTGAAGTTTCAATTTAAATCAGCCAAACCCATCAAAATAAAATGGTGTCAAAGACTTATAAGTTTGTTTTCTTTACAGAGCAGCCATGTCTTAAGTAGAAAAGCCTGTCCCCTGCCAACATGCTACAGAGAAGGATCGTTGTGCTCTGTACAGAAGCAGCGGTCTCTCAGCAGAGGATCAACACACTTCCTGTGGAGTCAGGCCTATAGCTCTGCAATCTGCAAAGCTTCCGCTCCCTGCTGATTAGAGTGCTGCGGCTGTGAGTTGGAAACATATTAGACCTCTGCAGAGAGACCACTGCTTCCACACAGAGAGCAAAAGGTTCTTCTCTGCAGCATGCTGGAGGGGAAAAGGTGGCTGCTTTCTGCTGCTTTCTAAAGGAAATAAACCGCAAGACTTTGAACACCTTTTATTTTGATGCCCCCGGAATGTATTCACCCATAAAAAGCCTGACTGATGTAAACACCCCTGGCGGGGTTATATGGTTTCTCCCAACCCCTGCATCCATCACTTCCATTGGACATCTCGGCCTGCGGGAAGTGGAAAGGTAACAGATCTGCTGAACACTGAGCCAGTCACATCAGTCTCTGTACAGAGGAGCTTACACTCTAATGTCCCCTCCCCCAAGTCACATCAGTCTCTGTGCAGAGGAGCTTACACTCTAATGTCCCCTCCCCCACAGTCACATCAGTCTCTGTACAGAGGAGCTTACACTCTAATGCCCCCTCCCCCC